TAATGAAACATATGCTCCTGTGGCGAAGATTACTACTGTTCGGGTGTTGCTTGCAGTGGCGAATCAGGCGCAGTACCATGTGCACCAGATGGATGTGAAGACGGCATTCCTGAACGGCCTGCTGAAGGAAGACATCTATATGCGTCAACCTGAAGGACTGCAGAGCGACAATCCTCAACTAGTATGCCATTTGAAGAAGTCGTTATACGGGTTAAAGCAAGCTCCGAGGAGTTGGAACGAACAGTTCAATTCGTATGTACTGAAGCTCGGATTTCGACGATCAAAATTGGATAGCTGTTTGTATTGGAAGCGACAAGAAAAGACTGTAATGTACATACTATTGTACGTGGATGACATCATCATTGTCTCGAACTCACTGGATTCTGTAGCAGAAATCAAAACGATGTTGACCAAGAATTTCGAAATGACGGACATGGGTGAACTGAAACACTATCTGGGGTTGAAGGTCGAACGAAATTTCAAGACTGGAAGAATGAAGATCAGCCAACCGAAATACATTGCAGACATGTTGAGAAGATTTGGTATGGAGGATTGTAACCCCGTTAGTACCCCAATGGACCCGAATTTGAAGCTGGACACCAACAAGGATGACAACCCAACAACACACCCGTATCGCGAATTGATTGGATGTCTGACCTACTTGACGATATCATCAAGGCCGGACATAAGCGCAGCTGTAAGTTATTTCAGCAGATTTCAAGCTTTCCCTACTGACACCCATTGGAACCACCTGAAACGACTGCTGCGCTACTTGAAAGGGACGATCAATTTTGGTTTAGTCTATCAGCGACGAGAAGATGCGATTCCTTTGAAGGGTTATGCCGATGCCGACTGGGGCAATGATCGAGAGGACAGAAAATCAATTTCCGGGAACGTTTTCCAAGTTTATGGTGCGACGGTATCCTGGAATACAAAGAAGCAAGCAACTGTAGCTCTGTCGTCAACAGAAGCGGAATATGTTTCCCTTAGTCAAGCGATGTGTGAAGCAATATGGCTGCGTAACTTGCTGTGCGAATTTGGTTCTACGTTCGAGCATCCCATACCAATATTTGAAGATAATCAATCTTGCATTCGAATAGCTGAGGAGCCCCGAGACCATAGACATATGAAGCACATAGATACACGCAGAAAAATGGATTTTTGTTTCAGGGCCTAATGTATTTTGTTATTGATTCAAACGTATTGTATCACTATTTCAACGAAACATATTTTTGAATCAACAAAATGGTTTTTAGAATCAACAAACAGATTATTGACTCTACAACCGGTTTGTTGATTCAAAAATATTTTTCTTTGAATTAACCGAATATTATATTTGAATCAATACCAAAAATATATTAGGCCCTGAGCCAACAATATATCCATTTGAATTTAAAAATCATTTCTCTGTGTGTATTCGATACAACTTCATGCGCGAGAAGATTCAAGAAGGTGCTTTCAAGATAATGTACGTACCGACCAATGAGCAAGCAGCTGATATATTCACGAAGGCCTTGCCAAGAGGACCGTTCACATTTCTTCGAGAAAAGCTGGGATTGTTCGGTTGAGCGGGGATGTTGAGTAGCAACCGATCAACTCTGTCCAAACAACAAGCATGTAGCAACCCATGAAGATTCGTGTCACTAATTTATTCATTCCTTCACAAACCTTCATTCAATAAAGAAGTTCTTTTCCAATTGCTCTGCCTAGTTTATTATATAGTAGGTTAGGTGTATATAGTAGTTGTAGATTAGTTGTAGCTGTAAATAGTAGTTTTAAGTAGTCTCTTTTTCCCAATTCAAAACAAACCAATCCCACTAAGGTGGTCATACTTTAACAGGCCTGATAGGACTAGGAACAGTAAATAATAATTAAAAATTTCAAAATAACTAAAGTTGAAAAGACGCATCTGTGTCACTTGAAAATTCATACATGTAAACCAAACAAATACAAGAAATATAGATCATTCAAAGTAAAAAAAAAGGGGTCTGCTTAAACGCAATGTGGACGGAAGCTGAACGGAAACGGAAAGTTTGACAGTTGTCACAAATGACATCCAGAAGCCTAACCGATGTCGATTTGGTTCTAACTAGTTTCCAATCCTACAAGTAGGCTTACTCAGATCGGACTTTTCCGCTGCCGCTGCCTTTATGCTTCCGCTGTCATTGCGCTTGGGCCTTTACGGTTGCTCTAAGAAACATTCACTCTCTTATAGTTTTGTACATCGTAGGATACACAAGTGTTTTATTCCCACGATCTATGGCCATTCCAATAAGTTCTACGTCATGGTTGACGACACGCGGTCACGGCACGAGTGTTCCCCAGGGGTCGGTAATCGCTGTAACGCTGATCTTGATCGCTATAAACGGAGTCTTCAATCGACTTCCACGCAATATATTCATTTTCGTCTACGCCGATGACGTCCTCGTGGTTTCCGTCGGCCGGATGAACGTCAGGTGCCACGTCAGCTCCTCTCAACATCGAGTAACCGGACCACCGATCAAAATTAACAACACTGCCATCCCGCTGAGGAAAACATAAAAGGTCTTGTGCGTCCTCATTGACCGAGAAGCTTTATTTTGAACCTCACTTTCAATCCGTAAAGGTCAGCTGTCGTAGTCCTCGGCCTCAGCCGCTGAAAAACTGATTCAAACCCTCGCTCCGACCTTCAACTGCTTCTTCAACAGCCTTCTCCCGTCGACGCCCGCCGATGCAACCTGCATCGAAGCGGGAATACTCCCTTTCCGGTTCCTCACACACAAGACCGCTACCTTCTCCGCTAAAACCACGGACGCTGAAGACGCTCCTCGAGAAGGGGAAAAGAATCCTTCGTACGTCCGTCAACGTGGATCTCCCCCCCAGTGAACTCACTGGCTTGGAGATTGAAGTTGGCCGCATCCCCAAATTAAAATCGACAACCGGATTCAGGAAAATTTTAAAGCAGGCTTTGAGAAGATCGGTTGTATAACTAAACACAGGATTATACCCTAACTACACGCACCAATACACCGACGGATCGCGGTCTCGAGCAGGTGTAGGTATCGGCGTTTCCGGCCCAGGTGAAGCTATTAGTAGCAGCCTAGCTCCGCAAGTTGCAGCCACCACTCCGTCCGCCAATCCAGTCAGTGCTGGTAATCACAGATTCAGAATCAGAACGTGGTATGTTGAGGTCCCATGCTTCGGAGCTTCGGCCAAGGCAAGCGAGACGGTCTTCTTCCTCGTTGCCTTTAATGCCGCAGTGGCCGGGTATCCAACACAATGTGGTGTTAGCTAGGGTGGCAATCCTGATGGCTTGAATTAACGGGTAGGAGTGAAGTCGTCAGTGCTCCTGTCACAATGCCGTCAGGACCAACAGCGTTTGAGAATTTCAGCTTCTGGATGGCAAAGTGGACAAGGTTCAATGTGACCGTGAAAATACCAAAGCTGAACACATTTCTGGGAGAATCTCTGATCCTTCCAGCAACTTGGCTTAACGATGCCGTTGAGTCGTTGAAAACACTCTTGAAATGCTCTGCCAGAAGGTTAAATTTTTCTAAAGTGTTGGATTTTGTTATCGCTTCGCAACTGGTAGCCCATCTTCGTTCCTTCTTGTCTTCGCAAACGTCCAGAATAGCTTAGGATTACACCGGAGATTGGTCTGCATACGTCTTGCATAGAAAACGGTTGTATATTCATAAGCGAGCATTAGACCATGCAGAAGCATACACAATCAGATATTGCTCGGCTCACAACCTCGACAAAGTAGTTCACGGCTTCATCAATGGACGAACACAACTCAAGGAACTACCTTTTTTTTCTTGATTTATTTTTCGTCGATCTTGTTTTCCGTGCTGAGCACCAATGCTACCGACGCCAAGGAGGCAGCTCCCACAGCAGGACCCTACTTGTAGACCAATCAACTCATGCACCGGGGACTAACGGCTTTACATCCCTTCCGAAGGAAGACGTGATCAGAGATGTTATGCCTCATAAAATCCCGGCGGCGCCGACTGGGATTGAACCCAGACCTGCTGGGGTGAGAGGTAATCACGCTTACCACTACACGACCGGCGCCGCTAAAGTAATACCTACTTACTTTCCACCATTTGAGTATTCTGCTTATGATTCACGATTCGGTGGTACTTTTCTCCAACGTGACTTTGCTGGCTGCACTTTTACTCGGGAACACTGCTTCGCCTGATTCTCTTTTCGTAATCAATCGGGTTCGGATATCCGCGTGGTTGTCCATCTTCTTGTGTGATTCTATAGAATGTCCCACGATTGTCTTACGACTCCGTAAAATCTTCACCTTCATTGCATGTTGATTACCCGACATAACATGACTAAGAATGGACGTGATGCTCGATTTGGGGAAACGGGGAAAACGGTGATTTAGTGGTCTCACAATTGGATCTCGAATGCGGAGCTCCTTCGTCAATGTCATCAGCAGAAGACATCAACGGAAATTCGAGAAAGTAAGAACGGGTGGAAATAAACGAATTCTGCAAATCGGAACCCGCCAGCCGAGACAGTCCTAAGGCGACGAAGTCTCAACGAAGAAGTAAAAGAAGCAAACAATCGCTTATGATGGAAATCCTTCACGTTGGTCCTATGCACTACTGTATAGATACTCAGAATATTTAAGTGAGCGTAACTAGTTTGAGGCACAAAACAAATTTTCACGGGTTTCCTTTGTAGCACAAAATTTGAAATGCTTGTCCTTTGTGCTGGTCGGTCGGAAAAACTTAAATGAATTCTTTGTTTCATTGTTTCACTTTTACCTCAATGCGGTTCGTTTAATCGACTCGACAAAACTTCCATTTAGTTTTTTTTCCATTAGCTGAATACGTAATCAGGTATTTAAGTAATTTCCATGATGATTTGTTAATCAAATTCTGACTCTATTATAATATACCACTCTCCCAATTTCACAACCCGAAACAACGTGACCAAACACGTCCAAACTGGTCCGAACCCATAGCCAAAACAAAAAAAAATCACATCCCCCAAAAGCCACTCACCCGTTATCCGCTGAATCTTGATCTGGATATCATCCTGGGGAGGTTCCTCCGGTTTTTTGTCCTCCTTCGGTTTCTCCTCTTCCTTGGGCTTCTCTTCGGTTGCTTTCGTGGCGGCAGCAGCAGTACTAGCCGTTGCCGTAGCCGCGGCAGCCGGCTGGGAATCGCTCTTGACTGTCGTTGCCTTTTCGGCACTGGCCGCTGCGGGCGTCGCCGCCGTACTGGAGCTGGATGCCGCTGCAGCAGCCGGTTCTGCCGGAGCCGTCGTGGGCTTCTTGTTCATAACCACAACAAACTTCTTATCGTCCAGGTTGTAGTGGCTGAGCGGCTGTTCGTCTTCCATGATTTTGCCCAGGTAGATCAACCGTTGCCGCTCGACCGGGTAGTCCTGTTTGCTTACCTGGAAGAACTTCTCCTTCAGCGACTTGACCGTGTCCTTCTCGACGTCCACCTCGATGTGGAACGCCTCCTGCTTCAATGTTTTGATGGTGATCTTCATGGTGCTGCTCCGGAGTTTATTGTTCCTTTATCGCGCTAGCTGGAAATAATGCTCTGCAAAAAAGCACATGTCCCATTAGCTTCCGCGGAGGAATTCTATCGCATCGCCGGCGGAACAGTTAGAACTTACCTTCCGCGGGGAAAATATCGCTATTGGTGACTCGGTGAAACGCAATTTTATTTGTCCCGCAGTTTGGGTCAGAATTTGCACTCGTAAATGATTTTCATATTTCCAATCTGACAGCTCGCTGTTCGAACGGTGGAACACGGCGCACGGCGACTGACAGACGGCCGTAGTTGGATTGTTGCTTTCTCGCTCTTGCCCAAGGGGATTGATGCGGCATAATGGGTGCTCGTGTGATGTTGATGCGTATGTGTTGTCTTGCTTTTGCTTGACTGCGTGACAAAAACTTTCGCGTGACGAGGGAGTGGTCAGAAGGTGTGCACGGTTAGGTGAACGAACTGAGAATACAGCCAGACTTACACAAATAATTGGATGTTTGGAACACGGAAACTTTCATCGATGACTCACTCACTGAACGAAATTACATGCCAAAAATCAAATTAATCGTCATTCAAAGTGCTCTCTAATGCCATCGTTTCGTTTTCGAATGACAACAGAAGCAAACTAAACAGATTATTTATATTAAATGCGAATCATCCTGCTTGCAGATGATAATGACTCTAATATGTAGGGGTAATGGCTCTAATGTTGGCCTATGGATCTAAGATTGGGCCCATCGCTAAAATTGTGCTATTTATCAATTTTATCTAGATGAACGCGTCATTGGGACGGTACTTATGGATATTTTTGGTCGCTATTGAAATTTTAGTCGATTGCTAAATTTAAGGTTTGGCCCAAATTAGAGGCACTTAGGCCGACATTACATCCATTTCCCCTACACTGTACAGAAACATCATCCCCTGATCGAATGAAACCTCAGACCATTCAAAACAAAACACCGAAATCGCTTTTTCGAATGATAGCTACAACCGGATGACGGTTGTTTTGAAGTCAGATGATTTTCCTCTCAAATACAGGATGAAACTTGTTATGAGAAGGGATAGGGCCTTCACTTGAAATGCGTAATGCTCTCTGCAGAGTGACTGTCATACTAAATGGAAATGCATATGGTATTGGTTCAGCCCCATAACGCAAATCATTCAAAACGATGATGTAAATAATTCTATCGAACGTCATTTGCTGATCAGAGCTGACAAGCGAGTTGGAAGCATATGCATCGCTATCAGAGCTGTTACGAACATAGGTAAAGGATGAAAACCAATGTTTGGCTAATTCGTGATGGAGGAGGTTTTCTCCACCACAAAATTTATTTTGTATGCATAATGGAATGGCTTATAATGGCTATTCAGTATGGAATTATAGATTATCAAATTATAAATTTAATTAAAAGCACTTGCATGTCACACTATTCTTAAATGTTTATCCTCTGAGTGCCGTATGTTTTATAGCTAATTTTCAAACGAAAATCATCCTGTATATGGATGACAGTCATATGGATGTTCATCATCTGACGACGAATTCAGCCATAAGAAAATCATCTGAAATTCGAATGCATATTGTTAAAGGGCTCGAGCAATGCAATAATCATTCGAAGTATTGCGGATGTTTTGGTTCAGTGTATATCTGTTCATGATTGATATTTGTATGCACACCATAGCTAAAGAACTTCATCTCAAATGCAACAGATAAATAGATCAAAAACACCCTATAACGAAAATCATTCATTTTTCGTGAGGGTGTGTGATAAGAAGTTGAACTAGAAAGTTAAATGTTCACCGAGGCAGAAACGACAAAACGACGCTAATATCACAAATTTTCACCCTGGACACCCACCCCGACGGGTCCTCGCATCCCGGACCAGGATCCCAATACCCACAGGTCACCCTTAACCGCACCCGAAAAGAGCAGGAATTTAGATGCCCTGCCCGAAGATCTTTTTTTTTTTCATTTATTTACAAACCGTTTTATTTTGCTGTACCCTGCACTCAACTACTAGCATAATTTCAAAATATCAGTGCCAACATTTCAAAGGGGCGTAATTGCATTTGTAAACAATGGCTTTAGCCATCGATTTCTCGCGAATAAAAGCTCACTCATGAAAAATAATGACACCATTAGGTAGAGGAATGTTTCCTCTACCAGCTAGCATTGTTATTTTGAAGAGGTAAGATTTCATTCGCGAGAAATTGATGGCTAAAGTCATTGTTTACAAAAGCAATTACGCCCCTTTGAAATGTTGGCACTGATATGTATGTTTATTTTAAACAAGAGAAGCATGTTTAAAATAAACAAACCAAACAAAAACAAATACGTTTATTTTTAACACGATTTTTTTTTAAATAAACGTAACATTATTTTTATTTTAAACATTGATTTCACATGACTTCAAACATGGAATACGTTTGAAATCAACTTAATTTATGTTTGTGGCCAGAACAAACTTTGGGAATTTGCAGAGCGAAAAGAAAAAAACACGCGTTTGTTTTGGTTCGTTTGATAGGACTGAATGATGCACGTTTATTTAAGAGTAGCAAATATAGGGTAAAAACACGGCTGAGCAAATTCTTAAGTTACACTACACGGATAGAAATCTCCTTATACCTTTTGGCAAATTTCTATAGCTGATTATTCATAAAATGTATAAGTCAACTAATAAGCAGACGCCTTGCAAAAAGTTAATGAAGATCATGTGTCAAATGAAATGTATAAGCGGTCACGCATACCTTTTATGCATTCTTATAGGACCTGTGTGGTTTGTCTTATGGAATGTATAAGGCTGAAGTTTTGGCAAAAATGTATAAGTGAAACACATAAATAAAATAATTGATTTTCGTTTCGTGTAGTCAACACTCCCCCTTAACTAAGAATTTGAGAGATTCCGAACACTGCTTTGAATTGTCCAGGGACCGGCTTTTGTCAGCGCGTCTGCCTTCTGGTCACTAGAACGGATGTACTTCAACTGCATAGTGTGGTTCTCCAGCTGCTCTCTGACAAAATGATGTCGCACGTCGATGTGCTTACTTCTCGGCGAGTACCCGATCTCCTTCTCCGCTAGGCACATCGCACTACGGTTGTCGCAGTGAATGACAATCGGTTCCTTCTTGCCCAACAACTCCGCACAGAAGCCACGCCACCACAGAGCGTCTTGTGATGCCGCCGACAAGGCCATGTATTCGGCTTCCATCGTAGAAAGAGTAACAGTCGACTGTTTCCGGCTGCTCCAAGACACCGATCCGCCTCCAAACTGGAACAAATATCCTGTGACCGAGCGCCTCGAGTTAGGATCGTTTCCCCAGTCCGCATCGCTAAACCCCTCGAGCACTGGGTTCGCCATCTTCTGGAATACCAATCCGAACGATTTGGTACCCTGAAGGTACCGTAGAATGCGCTTGGCTGCTGTCCAATGGGCTTCACCCGGATTACTGCAAAAACTGCTAACTGAATTCACGGCATACGCTATGTCGGGACGAGTGCATTGAGACAAGAACAGTAGTCCACCCACTAGCTCACGGTACGGAACATTCTGCATCCTTGCTTTGTCCTGTTCGGTTTTTGGACTCATAGCTTTTACGAGCCTCTGGCTCACTTCGGCCGGTGTCGATGTCGGATTACAGTCCACCATGTTGTATTTCTGAAGCAGCTCCTCGATGTATCGCTGTTGATCCAGCACGATAGTGCCACCGTTCCTGGTGATCCGCATTCCAAGCACTTGGCGGGCCTCACCCAAATCCTTCATGCGGAACCTTGCTGACAGTTGACCTTTAACTGCATCGAGCCACTCCGGAGCATTCGAGAACAATAGCAAATCGTCCACGTAAACTGCAACTATGATGATTCGCTTCCCATCCGACATCAAATACACGCAAGGGTCATAGCTGGATCGTCTGAAGCCAATTCTCTTCAGATCCGTGTCCAACTTCACATTCCAGCTGGCTTGTTTAAGGCCGTACAGAGCCTTTCTTAATCGACAAACCTTTCTTGGATCCTTCTGAACAAACCCCTCAGGTTGCTCCATGAAGATCTCTTCATCGGACAGTTCCCCTTGCAAAAAGGCAGTGACTGCATCCATCTGATGAATCTGCAAGTCTAGCTGCGCTGCCATGCCCATCAGATATCGGATACTGGCATATCTGACAACGGGAGAGTAGTTCTCGTTGTAATCGATGCCCTTCACTTGCAAAAACCCCTTGATTACGACACGAGCTTTGTGTCGATCCAGCGATCCGTCAGAGTTCATCTTCTTCTTCAGTACCCACTTGCACTTTAGGGCCTTCCGTCCTGGTGGTAGGTCGGTCAGCTCCCAGGTGTTATTCGACATCAGCGCCTCGAACTCGTCTTCCATAGCACGCTGCCACAACTGCTTCTCATCGGACTCCATCGCTTCTTGGAAAGACTGCGGCTCCTTCGATGATTCCTGAGACACGGACAACCTTTTAGGAATAACACTGTACGTCATATAATAAATTTGATACTTCCCAACAAACATTGAATGTTGGATAAGAGCTTACTCAGGCGAATATGTGCTTCTTCAGCTGAAAAATTGCTTATCCAGCTTTTAATCAGCTCAAATTGTTCGATGGGTTGCCTGGGATATTGCGCTCCCGTTCACTGCGCCTGATCGCGAGAGGATCTACAGATTGTGAAGGGAGCGCGACGGTTTCTGCTGAGGTTGGTTCTAGAGATTCGGTTGCACTGACATACAACGGTCCGGGGCCATCGTCGTCGTCGGCTTCTGCAACATCTTCCGGCTCACTGCCATCTCCATCGCTGGCTTCTGAAACATCTTCCGGCTGACTGCTATCTTCGTCGCTGGCTTCTGAAGTTTCTTCCGTTTGATCAACTCCCCCTGCGTCTGATTCGTCACCAAAAATAATTTCGTTCGTCATCGTTCAACTTTTCGGCAACACTGCGTCCTGAGATTCGACCGAACGCTGTTCCTCCTCGCTGAGAAAAACTGCATCCTGAACGAATTTCACTGTTTTCGTCTTTGGCAGGTACACTCGATATCCTTTCGACTGATATGCAAAGCCAACAAAAATTCCCGGTTCGGACTTGGCATCCCACTTACGCCTGCGTTGATTGGGAATATAGCACATCACCTTCGAACCGAAAACCTTCAGTTCTGACAAGTCTGGTCGCTTTCCAGTGAAACGCTCCTCCGGTGTCACCGGAAAACCTTTGGTCGGTGATCGGTTTATCAAGAAGGCGTAGCTTCCGCCCAGAAACTCTTATCCAGGCATGAA